AGTCTAAATTTGAAAGGGGAGAATGGAGCCAAATGAGCCTCATTGGCTACCCAGTCACAGCATCTCTACCTCTGACAGGGACTTGCCTTAATGGATATTGCCCCACCTGGGTTTGGGCGCTCTCTGGCCAAATTGGGTACCCCGGCAGTATGCGACGGGGAGACCATTCCTGTATCTTGACCTTTGGGGACCAAGGGAGACTGAGCCTGGGGTTGTGGCTCAGGCAGTGGTGGAGGAGTGGAAGGATCACCATATGGAGGTGGAGGGGGAGCAGCTGGAGTATTCCACTGAATTACCAGTAAATTGTCCTCCTTTTCTTTAGAATCACTAGAATCAAGCAAACAGGTTTTGTTATCTTTCCCTCTTTTTGAACCAAAATTTTACATCTCCACTGTATAGACTCATTCTGGTATAACAACATAAAAGACTGAACATAAGGTATTTCATCCCATTTCTCTTCCCATTTAGAAAATACTTCTAATTGCAAGATTTTACTATAATTTAAGGATCCATTTTCAGGCCATTTTTCTCTGGAGTCTAAAGAATATTGTGGCCATGCAGAGTTACAGAAAAATATCATCTTTTTCTTTCTCATGGACTCATAACTGAAAGTTGTCCAGTTTTGAAGAATGCAGCCTAGGGGGCTGCAGGTAGGAATCGAATTAGCGTTACCCATTGTTTCACGATTTAGACATGGCCGGTCAAACTATACTTATGCTGCCATTAGAACCAGATCTCAAAACCAAACCAAGCCAAGGGAACTTCTTTGAGCGTATCCCCTAATTCTTCCCTAATATCAAGCATCCCCAAAACCAAGACCCTCACAATGAAGGCCAGACCAAGGCTTCCTTTTTTAGAAGTTGCAGAAGGTATCCCCTACCAAACCAACGCTTCCTTCTCAAACGTCAGACCGAAAGGAAGAAGAAATAAGAATCCAGTCACTTGTACGAAAGTTACTCACCAAAAAAGACGTCTTCCAAACCCAGAAACTGTCTCTCTACTGCAAAGTGAAAATATGTGCTAAGGAATTGGCAGCACCAAACCAGGAAAAACCCTGAAACAGTCCAGGGAAAATGCTCCGGGCAGCTGCTGGACTCATCCACAGGTTCTCCACACTGGCAAGGGCCTGACAAATCTCATGCAAAAAGGTCCCTCTGGACATACCTCCTGGCTGACTTGCCAAATCGTTATCAAACCAAGGTTCATTTTTGACTGTCGCACCGAAAGCCAAACACAGAGATGGCAAGATCGCAGCAGAGAGAGGGTTTAATCACAAGGCAGCCAAGTTAGGAAGCAAAAGAGTGAGTCTCAAATCCACTTCCTTGAAAATAAGGATTCAGGGATATTTATGAGGTAGGAGGCAAGGTGGTCTGAAATGTGGAGATAGATGGAGATGAGGGGAGGTGAGGCAATTGATGACCTGTGCAAGTATAGTCAGACTTCATGGCTCTTCATAGCATGCATGTTCACAAAATGGTGATGTTAGCATGATCTGAGGGTGGAATTTTTAACCTCTTGACATCAAAAGGTCACTTATTAGACATCTGCATGGGCGCAGTTGATGGGTTGGTGGTCTCAACTGTCCTGAAGTGGACAAGGGGCTCTAATGCCTGAAAAACAGTTCAAACACCCATCACCATGATGACTCAGACTCCAGGGAGATATTATCTATAGGAACCTAGTGGGAGTAAGATAGTATATTGCCTAAAACAGCACAGTTAACAATGGGCAAGGGAAAAACTAAAACCTCTAATCAGTAACTGCAAAAAGGAAAAATAAAATTTAGTTCCTAGCTACTTAATCATCAATGGCTAACTGTTTTCTGGTTTCACCACTGTCTACCTTGTTTTGTATAAATGTATGTACAGGCATCATCACTTCTGCTAACCTCTAAGTCCTTGGAAGTCAGGTCCTGTCCAGTTCATTTCTGCATCCTTGAAATTGCCTACCACACCAACTTATACATCCTGGGCACACTTAGTAAGTATTTTTTTTAACAAATGGACACGTGAAATAATCCATGTAACAATTGTGGACTGTTAGATCCAGGAAATTCAGATTATCTAAACCTGAATTGATGATACATTGTCTCTGCCATGTCAACTCCAATCAATTAGTCATGGATATCTGCATTTAGTACTGCCTGCAATGAGAGATCTTTTAAGGCTATATCTGAACTCAGTGGGAAAGAATTCTATGATAGAATAATAATGTCTGCCAAGCCAATGGAATAGAAAGAAGCCCACACCTTTGCCATAAAGTGAGTCTCAAGATGTGTTACATCTCCTTATTTTACAGGTAAACAAACTGGGCTTCAGAGTTAAAGCTTTTTATTGTATGTCATACAATCAGTGGCAAATTGTGATGCAAACTCAGATTCTCAGACTCTTGACTATATCTCATTGTCGCTTTTCACACTGTGCCGACTCTAGGTCTCTTGCATTGAGACTGCCTTGCTTTTTCTGTCATAGGTATATAATCCTGGAGAATTCTAGACAGCCTCTAGGGAATATAGATGGGTGACTTGTTTGACAGGTTATGAACTAAATCACAATGTGACCAAATTCAGAGTGGCTGTTTATAAAATGGATGTGTTCCAGAGGAGAGTTTAAGCAGAGTTTAGAAATTCAGGAAATTCCTGATCACATCTCCAGTCGAGAAAAAAGCCAAGCTATACAGAAAGCAGAACGGTATTGGGAATATTCCTCAGAGAGCACTGCTTGGGGAAGGGATGTCATGAACTATCTTTAAAATATGCTCTAGACCAACCCTAAGATATCTCCAACCGTTAGTCACCAGTTCTCTTTGGTGCTGGCTTCTCTACTTAGGGAATCCCTTCTCTCGCCCTACCACTTAGTCTCTGGGGTCCGTATGCTCAACACAAGTCTTACCTGGGTAGTAGGTACATGTTACATGAGTCCAAAAGTCATTACCCACCACGTTTCTTACCTTTCTTTTATTAATTTTTAAAATATATATTACTTCCACTTTCCTATTTTCAACCATCTCAGAGCATGGTTATTGACACATTTTCAGGGTGAGGAAAGGAAGTGATTTTGAAAAAAATTCTTCAATCTATCACCTCCTTTTGATCCTTTTAGATTGGGCCTTCATTACCTCTTGTTAGAAGTCTCCTAATTTTCTAATGGATAAACTCACCTAAAAGATACCTGTAGGATAATATCCAAAATCCTGGCATGGCCAGAAGACCTTCCCTGATTCTTTCCCCTATGTTAATATCAATTTCCACTTTACCTGACTGTGTGTTCTTTACCAAGGTACCATGCTTTTTTATTTCTATACATGTTTTACTTGCTAGTGCCCCCTCCAAGAATATCTTTCTTACCTTGTCTTTCTGGCAAACCACTACTAATTTTTCAAAATGTAAAACAACTACCTTTCGCCTAGGAAGCTTTTCTTTGTCCAGTATTCTGGTTGTAGGAAACTGGTGCCTACATGGATCACACTACACACCATTTGCAGCATTGGAGGCAAATATTCCTTGTTTGTTGCATATGTGAATGGACACTGTGCTCATTGAGCTGCATCTCTAATCTACAGAATTCAGAACTATTATCAGAGGATGTTCCACTCTTCTGGGGGTAAAAAGATTATCCTAAGTCCAAAACTATTCATATTTTGTCACAGATCCACATATGATGTTGGGTCTCTTTACATACCATTAAGAACAACAACAACAATGAAAAAAGTATGTATATATATGTATTATATGTATAAATATACGTACACACATATACACATATGCATACATACAACCAACACATACCCATTATGAGAAAGCTTGAAAACTTCCTTCAAATAAGAAAATAAGACACTTCTTTTTTGTCTCTACTCTATCTTAGGTACCTTGGAACCATTCTACCTTCAATGTGTCATTATTACTTCCTCCACTTAGGTCACCCATAAAACAATTAAAATGCAAGTATTTGCACAACTCACAAATTGTGATGTCCAATAGGCCAAGTGCATAAAAATCTAAGGTCAAGATCACAAGAATTACTCAGTAAACATAATCAGCACCTTCCCTCTATTTTACAGCTTGGGTTTTATATGTACATTAATTTGCCTGAAGTTGCTGTATTGGCTTAATGGAATACCATTGCCATCTGCTGGTCATATTAAGCAATTACTGTTCTGCCCTTAACCAATTCATTCAGAGATTAAAACAATCTGGTTTCACTGTGCTATTGTTGTAACTAACTTTTACATATTTAAATCGAGTGGCCAATATGACTCAACTTGCCATTTAATGACTCACCATGCATAATTAAACTAGCCTAAGGTAACTAATACTGACTGTATGGAAATAATATGTCTTGGTTGTCAAGAAATATAGACTTTGATATCAGAAATAAACTTTCAAAGCTCAGCTCTACAATTTTTAGCTATGTGATCTTCAATAGATCACCTAACCTGTCAAGGCTCACATTGCTCAAAAAGGTAAAAATGGAATTATAGCAGTGCCTTCTTCATAAGATAAGTATAACCATTAAATGAAATAAGAAATTTGAAACTCTAATACAGTACCTAGCATTTGGTAAGCAATCAACGCATGTTCTTGAATATTATTTCTCTACTATTACTCTTCTTCTGGTTGACATATCTGTAAAGTCAGTTTCCTTTCTGGACCTCCATTTTCTCATGAACTCTATAGTTCAATTTAGAAATATGTGATTTTCCAATGCAGTTTCAGCTGCTATATAAAGTACAACAAACTTATGGTTAGTGGTCTATTTGTTCAACCTTAGTTATATGTGAGGTGACCAACCCTGTAAACCCCAGATTTAAATTTTCATTCAGTCTTCTAACTGAACTCATTTTAAAAAGTCAAAGTATAATTAACATTTAATAAAATACAATGATCTTGAGTATTTAGTTCAATGAGTTTTTATAATTACATTCACCATGAAACCACCACTCAAAACAAGATATAAAACATTTCCATTGCCCCAGGCAGTTTCTCATGTCTTTTTTCAATTAAAAAAACAACAGAATGCCCAAAAACATGTGTTATTCATATGCAGGCTCTATGCTAATCTTCTGTGTATCAGGCCAATTTTACTTCATTCTCCCAAAGTAGGCACTACCCATTGCATTTCTGATTACCTCCCTTTTCCCCTCACATCCAGAAGAAATTATAGGAAAGGAAAAGAATAATTAATGGAGAAATACCGTTGAGCCAATTTAAGATCAGCAAACTCTTGGTGAACATGGCCTCCCAGACTACTTAAAGGTAGAAATTTCCTTTTTATAAGGTGCCTTTATAATATTATTGATATTTTAGAGGGAGAAGACAGGAAATCTCTTAGAGAAATGATGGTGCCCAAACAGAGCATCATAGAGTTGTGGTCATCATATCTCTGAGCCTGAGTCTTGGCTCAGTGGACTTAGAGATTGGGTTTTCCTAGCACAGAGTTGATCAGGTCTTTAAGGATAAATCCTTGGTAAGCAAATTTATAATACTTTTACATATAAATCATAAAAGCAATATATTAGTTTATATTAATTAATACATTAATAATTTAATATAATGGATTGCTTTTCTTTTCATTTTTCAGAATAGTTACATCGATTATCCAGGATACTCCTTTTCAGTCTTTCTCAATCTTTATTTCATTATCTCCTTCCTCCCACCACAGAGGAGACCTTTTAGTCTCCCATCCATGAAATTTTAATAGCATACATATAGTATATCTATTTTTATAATATATCTCTATCTGTGCTTTATACATAAAAAGTAACATTTTTTCACCACCCTCTCCACCCCCTGGAACTAGTTTTCCCGTTCTTGGGGGGTATTGACCCACTGAGAATGTATACCCTATTTCTTTTTTCCCTGCTACCTAGCAGTATGGATTATTGTATTAATCACGCCTTCCTATTTTCTGTACTTTGGATACTTGGACATCGGAGTCTTGCTGATGACAGAGAGACTGCTCCTCCCAGGGCTAGCCAATTTCCAGAAATAGTAAAGGACTCACCTTTGACCAGTCTTTCATTTGAAAACTAACCAGTTCAGAGCCCGTACCCCTAACTACCTCCTTAATCAGACTCTTATACTCCAAGCCACCATTCCCTTGCCCTAATCACCCCAAGGCCAGGTACTAGACAACTAGGGGCAGCCCCTACATCCTAAAATTATTCAAATTAGTCCATCCTAAACCTTCTTATCCTGTCTTGCCTGTTCCTTCCTTTGGAAACCACAATAAAAGGTCTTGCTTCCATTTTCCTCCACTCCCTCTGCCTCAGACTGATCCCGGTGCCTTCCCTATGTGGCTCTGCTTGATGTGGCATGTCCCCTTCTCTTAGGAACCAGGAGTAACAAACTGTCTTTTCAATGGCAGCCATCTCCTAAATCTGTTGTCCTCACTAGACATGAATAATAATAAAACCTATATTTTAAGACAATTATATATCAGGAAGTTGGTTGGCCAGAATGGAATATGGGTAGTCTTGAGAGATATTTGTTAAAATTGTAGTGAAGCCTTGTAAATTCTCACTGTACCTTACAAAGCATCATCCATAGTGATCTCTATGCTAGTGGGGAGGACAGCAAAGTGATTAATGTACAGCCTTAGCAGTCAGACTACTGGGTTCAAACCCTGACTTTGTTACTTCTTGGCTATGTGATTTTCCACAAGTCACTTGTGCCTTATTTCCTTATCTGTGAAACGTGATAATAATTGTGCCAACTTCATGGATTTGCTATGAGTATTAAACAATATGTATAATTCACTGCAAAGTTCGGGGGTCCCCACGACCACCCTCATTTCTGATACTAACTGTAAGTTCAGAAGGTCCCCAAGATCACCCTCAGGCTTGGTAATTAGCTAGGCAGACTCATAGAACTCAGCAAAGACATTATACTCACTATTACAGTTTATTACAATGAAACAAGACAGGCTGAAATCAAAAGAAGGTGCACATAGGGCAGAGTCCAGGAAACTCCCTAGAGCAGAGTTTCCAGTGGTCCTCTCTTAATGGAGTTGTGAAGACAGTGCTTACTTCTCTCAGGAAGCATGTATGGCAATACGTGGGGAAGCTCACTTGAGGCTTAATGTCCAGAATTCTTATTGATGCTCCATCATGTAGATTTGGTTGACTGCCCATGTGGCTTACCTTAATCTCAAGCCCTTCCAGAGGTCCAGCTGATATCACAGGGTCCAAGCCTGTCTGCACCCCCACCATTGTTAGTATAGACTATCCAGTGTGCCCAAAGCCCCCCATAAATCATATATCATATTTTTAGCAAAGACTACCTGGCATGGCCCAAGGCCCCAGGTAAACAGACACTCCTATCAGACAGGATATTCTGAGGGTTTAGAGATAAACTCCTAGGGCAAAGGGCCAAACATTTCTGTGGGCAAGATTAATCCTTTACTGAGTAAGCATTTAGATAGTGGCCACTCTGGTTAAATACACGGTAAGCATTAGCATTATTATTGTTTTAGTGGTCATGCTAGAATTTCTCTTGCCTGAAAAGTACTATAAAACACTGCCAAAATCTTATTCTTTTTACTATTCTGGGTCTATGCAGACACCTCTAATGGTTAATGGTCTTTTTAGTCATTCATGGTAACATGTGCTTGATTAAAACTCATAGGCTTTGGTTAGACCTACCGTAGCTCTGCCTCTTAGTTTACCCCTTGAATGACCCTAGGTGTTCCCAGACCCTTTCAGGCGTGTTTATAGACAACCCCTGGAGCTATTTCGACAGATGTGTGATCTCATTCACTATATATTGCATCTGACTCTTCTCACCTTTAGTGTAATCTTATATCCATGTTGTTGGGGGACACACTACTGTAACTTTCTATATTCTACACAAAAAACTATACTCGTTATTTCAGCAGCCAAAGATTTTTTCATGAGGCAGTATTAAAGACTTGCACAAAACTCGTTAGCAAGTAATTCCTTTTGCCCAGTCTGAAAAGGTGCTCTCTTGTTATGAAGTGACACAATGAAAGGTTAGGTTCTTATCGCCCCATCTCATTATTGTTGATGCAAAACTCCAAATTAATTTGCTTGTGGTTATGGAAACATTTCCTTTAACCTTGGCGACTCAGTCAGAAAGACTTTGTTTTAGAGATGGGTATTGCTTAACGGCACTTGGCATTTGCTCAGGCTGAACAATCATCCAGAGAGCATGTATCTTCGTTCTGTCTTGGGTAGCGATTGCTGCAGAATTATTACATAGAATAGGTTGTGGAAATCCTTTAGTGTGGTGGCTGGTGCAGAGGCAGTGTGTTTTGATTAGCAGGAGGGACTCTGTAGTTAGGTACCTGGGTTTACCCTGGAACCAGCTATTCATGACCTCGAACAAATAGCTTAACTGCTCTGCTCAAAAGGGGATGGTAGTAATATCACCTTCTTTTTAGATTCAGGAGAAGGAAGGGTTTTTTTTGTTTATTGGTTTTGCTTTCTGCTTTATGCTCTGCCTCTAAAAATAACTGGCACAGAGAAAGCACTCAATAAATATTTGTTGCTGAATGACCAAAGGGTTGTGATGAGAGTAAACTAACATCACACACACAAAGCCCTCAGACTAGGACCTGGAAGATAGTGAGCTCTGAGTAGGCATTCATTTAAAAAAGCATACAGTTAAAACAAAAACAGATTAAACCCTTTATAATCAATAAAGAATTTGGTGATGAGTTTATAGGAAGTTCATTAATTATAATATTAGACTCTTATTTTTGTTGTCCATTTACTTATTTATTCACCAAATATGTATTAAGCAATTATCATATGCACTATTACAGGTTCTGGGCATATGGAGGTAAACAAAAATAGCCAAAAATAAAGGACATTCATGACATTTTCTTCCAAGCCCAGGGCAATTCCCATAAGTCTATCAATGACCAAGAGCTGAGGGAAAAGAAACTCGTAGGACAGTGATGAAAACAGGATATTCAGATCATTAACTTTATTATTAATCTTTTGCCATTTTCATATCTGTCAGGTTCTCTAAAACTCTTGAGATACAAAAGCATTTTCTTGGAGACAAGAGATTATTCAGAGATTCCCCTCTTCATTGCTCATGTCTGCCTTAGAGAATTTCTCAACCAGTTGTTTCAGGTTATAGACATAATTGGCTATTAGTCATTTTAGTGCTATTGTTCATTGACATACATCTCAGCATCATCTCTCAGCCGTCTCAAAAGCAAGGTCCTGCTTTCTGATTAATCTTTGGCTGGTCATTGAGGATATTGAAGCAGCTCCTGTTAATTAGACCCTTTTATCTCTAACCTCATCCATTTTCTGGATGTAATAGTAATAGATGTGCCAGCAATTCCAAGCCCGACCCTGAAACCTTGCTAATCAGCTTCTGTGACCAGCTCGAGGTACTGCTGTTTGAATTGTGAGAGCCAGATTGTTGTGAGAGGTTATATGTAAGTGAGCATTTTTGTTTCCAAGTCAACTACACACATTTAATGAAACCTAACGAGCTCATAAAGTTAAAAAATAAAAAGTACTATCTATAGCGCTTAGTGATATAAGCCAAGCACACACGCACATGACATGAAAAAATAGAGAAATATGAACTTATACGGAGAGGAAGTCCACATAGTGACAAAGAGCATGGGCTCTTCATGTCACAAGCTGTATGAACATGGTCAAGTCACAGCCCTCTGAATGTCAGCCTTCTTATTAGGAGGCAGTTTGGAAAACATTGAATATTAGATTGCTCCTGGAAGAATCGCAATTCTTATTTTAAAGGGTCTGAGAAATTTGAAACAGCTCTAATGAAAGCAATAAAGGAATAGCTTTAAAGTATTTTATTTGGTTTTTCCCAAATACCCAACACAACATGTGTTAGCACACACGGCATATTTAAAAAAATGTTGTGTTATGGGTTGAATAGTGTCCTCCACAAAATTCATGTACACCCGAAACTAAGAAAGGGATCTTCTTTGGAAATAAGGGCTTTGTAAATGTAATTAGTTAAGAATATTGAGACAAAATCACACCAGATTTTGATTGGGCCTTAAATCTAATGACTGGAGTCCTTAGAAGAAGGGAAGAAACATACAGAGAAGGTGGTGATATGAAGATGGAGGCAGAAATTGGAGTGATGCAT